GGCTTCTCTGATGGTCCAAATGGAAGGTCCATCGGATTGTCAGATCTGGTAAATGGATGAATCTTCCATGAGAGAAGGATGAACTGATCGGAGGAGGCACGATACCGACCATCGGAATCATGGATAGTACATCCGGATCACCAAGGTCAATTGATCGGATCATACCTGATGTTGCTGTGCCAATGTCCAGAACACTGAACACTGTGCTGTTGGGTGCGGAAGAACCATCGTCGATGGGTGACTTCTAGTTTCAACAGGGCGGGGGCCCCTTTTCTTTTCGTTCTGCTTCCGAGCTGTTGTCCAAAAGCGCCACAAAAAACACCCCAAGCGTGTTGGGTGAAGGGTTGGAGGAACATGAGGAAAGGAGAGGACCTCCTCCGTGACCGGTCCGGTCCGGTCCTTTGCTGAGGACCCGGCTGTTGCACCAAGTCAAAGGGGTTGGGCCCAAACCTGGTGCTGTCGGTGCTGTTGCTGGGATCCACACCCGACGCTGGAAAAACCCACCGATTTCAGTGCTTGGCTCTTGGCTCGTTCGGCGCGGCTGGTTGGGGTTCAGGTTGTCGGTGGGGTTTTGTTTGGAGGGTCAGTCCTGCTCCTGTCTGGGGAGGTAGTTGGAGTTCAGCTGGAAGTCTTCAAGAAAGGACTCAGGATGGAAAAACCCGCTTCCTCGATGAACAGATGAACTTGCACGCTGAGATAGGCCCCGAATCAAACCTGAACATTCAAATTGAAACTACCAACTAAAAGAACAACAACATCCAGGAGTCACAGAGCTCGGGGTGTTTTGGTTTTTCGTCCCATCCAGTGAGTGGATGTTCCTGAAATTAGGCACCCCGACATGTGACTCCTGGATTACAAAGGTACATGCAGCTTGATCAACCAAAACATGTCCTGTTCAGATTCCTGGTGCCATTCTCAAAGAACCAAAGAACAACCACTCACCAAAAAATGTTTACCAGGACCATCGACCATCCAATGGGTGTCCATCCAGGAGATTCCCTCCAGTGGTTCATGCTGCCAAAAATGCTCGTTCAGCCTGGACACCCAATCAGGATGTTGGCAAAAGATCGACAGAAAAGTAGATCCCCACTCATGGAAACCGTGCCACTCTCTATTTGGGATCATTATACATCCACTCAACCCACCATCAGGGGAAACTCTAGAGGCGAACAGAGCGCCAGAGTTCCACCGGGTCCCACGCTCCACACGTCGATGTCCGGCCGAGTTGCGCGCGGCTCCCGGAGGTGGCGTTGGGCCGTTCGGGATGCAAGACCTGACCACCCCCCCACCCCACCCGAACGGCGAGGTCGAGGAACGTGGGGAACGCGCGTGAAGCGGTGATGGGATGGGTGGGATTGAGGAAACAGACCCATGGTGGCGTCGAAAGTGGAAAATGGGGTTGAACCAGTTGGTCCAGGTGTTGACCTAGAGCGGATGTTCAAGCATCCAGTTGAACATCCCATGTGGGCCATCCAGGTCCCAATCCATGTGGGTAGACCATTCCATATGGTCAATAACCTGAAAGACAACAAAACAGGGCTGGTGTACAATCTGAAATCATCGATCTGGTTTAACTTCCAATGATTTAACATGATTCAAGTGGACTTCTCAGTTGGTTTGGAGTCAGAAAAGCATAGAAAAACTGGTTTATGTATCGAATGCTCCAAAACTATGGAACAACAAAATGTGTGAAAAGATGCCTTGCAGGACATATTTCAACTGACTTCGGTGCCTCTTTCTTTTGCTCGTCCAGGCAGACTTGGAAGCACTCAAAGCCCTTTGCCCCCAGCCTCAGCCAATGCATCGGATGCAAAATCATCTGCAGAGTGTTCGAGTATGAGAACTCGTGCCCGTGTTCCTTGTAGGATTCTCTCCAGAGCCCATCAAATGGCCTTTGAGTTTTGAAGGGCTGCACATCCGGCAGACTGGAAACATCAATCAGCTGATGTTTGCCTCACTCCCAAGCAGGATTCTTTAGACTTGCAGAGAAGCATGGAAGCGTGCGAACGGGCGAGGGCTGCGGGCCCATATGACACGTGAGTCGGATCCAAGGCGCTTGGACGGAACCTATTGGTGCGGGCCCCTGTCTTTTTGTTGAGAGTATAGACACCCTGCGAGTCAAGTCGACTATATACAAAGAATGGTCTGAGTATGGGGATCCCAAAGATCATTTCCTTCACTAAGGGAAAGTATCTTCTAGGGGGACATGTATAGACCCTGAATTCTATTGTGTTTTAAAGAAGATTGTCTCTTGTCTTCCATGATACTTCGAAGAGCCAGCCTGCCACCTCACAAGTGCATCCACCATCTCACTGAGGGCAGACCTCACTTGGGTTGTTACTGAGGGCATGGCTTTTGTATGTTGCCCATGACTCCTTTTCCTTTCGCAACTGCTAGACCTTGTGGCCCTTGGTACTGGGGTCATGCACAAGTCAGACGTGGACCCCTTGGACCCTTTGCTACTGGCTCCATCAATACCTTCCGAAGTCTTCAGGCCTTGACCGACAAAGAACAGGCTAGACATGGCGCCCAAGAGAGGTTGATTGACCGTGACCATAGGACCCCCAAAAACCTGGCGTATCCCGGTCCGCCTTGGATAGTTGAACAGTCGGGTTCTGACCCACCTCTAGAAATGGTGCCAATACATCACCACCTATCGAGCTCCAGCTGTTCATGTGCTGTTACATCAAGAAGGGGGGGTCCCAATCTTTGTTGACCCACTCTTGAAATATGGCAACCCATCTATTCGTGTTGACCTTCCGAACCCACTCCAAACACCTTGACCTCCGTACTTAGGGACCTTTTGAAAAAAAAAAAAAACACGTCCTGGTCCCACGCCGGTTGTCTTCCAAAGAACGTCACGGTGGCGGTGAAGGTGTTCTCCTGCCGCGTCATCGCTTCGGGCTGCCAGTTGTTCCAGGTGCCGATCAAGTAGTAGCCTGGTCTGCTTCAGCAGTTTCATCTGGGACACAAAAAGCTCATTCTTCAATAAGATAATAAGGCACCACTTGGGCAGTGGGTCTTCAACAGGGCCGCTCAGCAAATTCGGGTTCAGCCGGGTTCCGCGTTTTCGGGCAAAATGCCAAAAGGGGCAGGCCATGCAGGCACTGACTCGTTTGAGTCGTACGACTCTTGCATCTCTTTCTGAAATGGAGGACCTACATGGCCATATACCACTCGTTTGAGATCCGTTGGAGTCCGGCCGTTTGGACGTTACCATCTCTTGACATGGAGGACCCACCTGCTGGAGCCTCCGATTCGTCGCTTAGCTGGTCTGCTCTCCCCTAGGCTTCCAACAACCATTCATTTAATAGGCTGAATCCCGAATCTGCTTGACCTTGTTGACCTACCATGTGGGGCGAGGGGGGGCGGGGTGGTTTATTAACCGCTTGGGTTGGAAAAGGGGCCCGAAACGTCTGGTCGATGGACCGATGAATCGAAGTGCCAAACGTCGGACGGAAGAGGTCGTTTTGTGTACACGAAACGTCGTGTACCCTGGCGGTCAAGTCAGACGATATACCAAGAATGGTCTGACGAATGGGGAACTGAGTTTGGGAACTTCCTTTACTTCAGCCGGTTAACATAGAGTCGAACTGGACTTCTAGGGTGTATCTATAGTATCTCTGTCCAAAGGGAAGTGGTGAAAGTAAGGAAATGAAGATCCCACTGAGCCCACCGAGCCCCATTCACGCCTCACCATCCTCTTCACTTTCACAACTTGCCAACTTGCCAAGATCGCTCCACTGAATGAGTTATTACTTATTTTGCCTAGTATGATCAACGCCGTCCGCCATGGTGTCGTCGGCTCCACGGATGACTTCCCCAAGCAACACCTTATTTCACCATGCGCCATGCACCAAGCGGCTCTTCGCCGTGTCACCACCGCCAGGCCAATAGGCAAAGGACTGCCTTTCGGAGCTACTGAGCTGTCCACTCTGCTTGGAGCTGTGCTGAGTGGCACGGGGTGTCACGGTCTTTCAGTAGCAGAAACCTTGCGAAGGAAAAGAAAAGTAGTGCTTCCAATTTGAGGCCCAAAGGCACCCTTATTCTCAATATCTGACTATATATTGTGAGTGGCTATGCTGACATCATCGGAGTGTTCCATCACCATTTGTCCTGAGAGTTCCATTTTCTTGAATTTGGGAACCCTACCCACCTCTTCACCACCCAACAACTAGACCACACCAGTACCCAGTACCTAGTACCTTAGTATATAGTAACACCTAAAAATATCGTCTTCAACCCACAGCTCCAAGCACCTCTTCTTCAGCCAAAATGCTTCACCCTGCTTCACCCTCACCGACCTTCACCCTCCACCCTCCACCGACCTGGCGAACTTCACCTGGTTGGCGCGCACCGCCTTGCTGGCCTCGCCGGCTGCCACTCGGGCCGTTCCGAGGAACGGCTGCGGAACGGTCTGGGGAAGGGGGGCAGCTGGTGCTGGATGGTGGAAGGCAGGTTTTACACTCACAATGCCCTGCCCTAGATCTGTCACCCGGGCCCATCATGCACCAAAAAGGCTCCTATAGTACAGGTCTCTCAACTCTTGGAAGAGGTGAAGTTCGCGGCCCCGGGTGGGACGTCGCCGTGGAGAAGGGGCGGCCTGAACCCTTGGGCGATTGGTGAAGGAGTGCTTTTGGACGATGACGAGTGGTGAGTGGCTTTTGGTTGGAGTGATTCTTGAGTGATTCTTCGTGCTTTGGAGGTGATTCTTCGTGTTGATTCTGCAGGTCACCAAGGTTCTAGATTCTCACTGGATGGGTCCAAACACAAAACTGGTTGGATATCTCCAAAAATGATCCAAGCCAGAATCTGCCCTCAACATGTTGCTTTCTGAGGAAAGGAGGATCCTTGGAAAGTCCTCGCCAAAAAGAGCCAACAGAAAAGCTGGCAAGTTCAGACCTGGTCATAGTGAAAGAACCAACTAGAAACCAGACATGTTTGCACTAGGGCCTCCCCTCGCGCGCGCCCCGCACGCTCGAACGCATCTCGTCTCATTGTCAAGGCGCCCCCCAGCAGACCAGGTTGATGCTGGTGCCACCCCAACCTCTGGCACCCGCCCCGTGGAAGACACGGCTGTCACCTCGGCTTGGTCAAACTGTCACCTTCGTTGGGGAGCCATGGCTCGTGCGGGCTGCCACCACTGGTGATACTGTGATACTCCCCGGGGCGGCCACTGGCACCTCGCGGCACTGCGCGAGCCCCTTTGGAGAACGCCAAAAGAGCCCAAGGTGGACACTACAGTGGTCTTGAATCAGCAGAACAGAAAAACACTGGAAAATGTTCAAAACATGATGTTGACTGTTGGTTCATAAAACTCCCCTTATTATGGAGAGGCTTTACAAACCAAATGGGAGGGTTATCAAGTTATCAATCAAGAGTCTACATTACACCTTCACAAGACATTGACGTTGACGCTTCTACGAGATTCTACGAGTATCTATCGATCTTGGGGTTACCATCAAAACAGGTCCCTAGAAAACAAAGCAATCTTAACAAGTAAAAGGATGAGCACTTTCCGTCCCACTCATATATGAATTGTCACATGCGTTCTGGATCTTTCCACAGAAGAGCCTTGAGCCACATCCCTTTCCTGCAACCTTATAAGGAAAGAACGACCTTTGAATCATGCCTCAAAACAAAAACTATCAGCACACACCCACACACCAACACAAAATCCATACACATCCTCCCATCACATATACCGGAGTCAAGTCGACTCTAAAAAGACTGGTCTGACTAGCTAGGGGAACTGAGTTCGGGAACTTCCTGCAACCTTCAGCCAGTCAAAATATCATCAAACTGGACTTCAGCCGGGTATACCTCCTCCATCCGCTCCGACCCACCACAGTTCGCTCCTCTCCATCCGCCACCCGCTCCGACCCACCCTCGCCCCGCCGTCGCGGGTGGCCCCTCCGAGCGGCGATAGGCGATGGACTCGCTGGTGATGCAGTGCGCCGCATCGCCCGGCTGGGTCCGGTCGGTGCGTCGCGCGGCGCGTGCCGCGCGGTCGGTGTACGCGGCGGGGCGGTGTTGGGGTCCGGAGAGCGTTTGGGCAAGCGGGGTGGTGTCTTGGAAGTTGGGCATTTTCTTGGGGGGGGGGGAGAGGAGAGAGGGGTCAGGGGAGTGGAGAGACCCAGAAAGGATGTGGAACATAATGAGTGGGACCGATGGAAGCTTCAAAGGATCTCAGTGTCGTGCGAACACCCCAGCGCCCCGCAGCGCCCCCGCGGCACGGTGCCACCGGAAAGGGAAGAGAAACGTCTCTTCGGTGCGGACGGCGACCGAACTGAATGCTGCACGGCACACTCAAGGGAACGAAACACACCCGGGAAGATTGACATGGAACCCTGAAAATGGACCTTTGGAAGGCTACTTTCCTCTACAACCCAGTGGTTTTCAGGTTCTATGTTAATCTTCCAGGGTGTAGGTAGCATGTGGTCATCTTAGACGACTTGCTGTTTCGGAACCGGGAGAACGGTGAACATCGGGTGAAAATCCGGTGAAGGGTCTCCTTTGGATATTTGCTTAAGGGACTGGGAACATAGAAATCATCCCCAGAAGGGGAGCAAACTCACAAAGAACACCAACAATCACCTGATATTCAGAAGCAGCAACTAGGGACTGATTCATTTGTGCCCTGACATGGCCCAATGTTTCCCTGCATGGGCACTGACTTCGTCATGATGCCGGGGACAGGCCTCGAAGTAGGGGTTGAGTTGCTTGAGGTGGAGGTTGGGACAGTTGTTGCCATAGGTGATGCTGAACAAGACCTGCGCGATGAACGGTCGCCACGCAGCGTGATGAGACTGACAAAGTACACAGGTCTGTGTAAGAACAAAGCCTGATGTGCCTACCAAAGGGGATTGAAGTGAGCCCTTTCTGATATAGGTCTTGAAGTCGACCTCAGGAACCTGGAAACCCAGGTGAGCAAACCCCTGGAAGATGAGTGAGTTCTGCAAACTCAGCAGCACTAAGCCACATACTCAGCATACTCAGCAGCACCGTGGGGGCGTCCCCGCACTAAGCTAAGCCACTGGGACCGGTTAGAGACGTTGAGGCACCGGGGGGGAAGCGTGTTCAAGTGAAGCACCCAAGCAAAAGACAGAGCCTTGTTCGCGCCCTGTTCGGTGTGAACGGGCAACAGAAGCAGCGTATGGGTGGTCCGCGTGGTCAGGAGATACTGGACCATAGGATGGACGAGAGTTTGGTAGCACAAGAGGCGGTATAGCCGTACGCCACGAACAGTCGTCAATCCAAACGAACCTGCGCCGAAAGGAAGGCGCAAGGCGCAATCTGTTTATTCGTCTAAGGATGGTATCTGACTATTCTCCTGGCCGTGAGGCGCCGTGAGGTGCAGAAGAACAAGTTACACCATGCAGTCTCTGTGGCTGCGAAGACTAGAATCCCCCCCGAGTGAAGCACCATGAGTGTTCCTCGATCTGTCAGAGTTTTTTTTTGAGTGTTTGACACGAATAAGGGGTCATCATCGTACTGAACCTCTAACCCATTCTATAGCCTTCAATTTTAAACCAAACTACCACAGCCTAAGTAGGTGATTCAAAAACAATGGCTGCAAGCAGATGCAAGCAGTTTCAACCACAAAAAGTATGTGGAGGTCGTTCTAGTGATGTCTGGCTTGTCCCAAAACCAACCCTGGTGCCTTGCCACCACGAAAACGGCTCCGAACGGGTCAGAAACCCAGTCATGTAGACTGTTGATGAATGAAGAATAGCAGCTAGCAACCTATATTGATATGAAACAGGCGGAAGCGAATCCATGGACATGGATTGGTTTTTCTTTTTTCGAGCAGGGGTTGTTAATTAATCCAAGAGTCTACCCTTCGCTCCGCTAGACCAAGTTCAACGACCGTCTGCTGTTTTCCACCACGTTCCAAAATAAAGAAAAACAGCAGACTCGCCATCTCTCCTCCTTCGCCCATCTTGGCCGCGACGGTCCTCACCCTCTCGACCCTCTCGCTCACTCGCGAACTCGGTCGGAAGTCGAAGGCCTTGAGGAAGGCAGACATGAAGCAAGCTTCGCGCTGCACGCCGGTGTTGCCTTAGATGTGTTCTGTGTCTGATCGGCCCTCGGCCCTTCTTGCCTTGCATGTGGGAGCGGCCCGCGAAAAGACGCTGAAAGCTAGTCTCGAGACGGAAACGAAAACACACCATGAACCTCCCTACAATATCCGTTTTGACCAATACGAATGTTGATCTATCCGTTTCCTTTCAGCCTTTCAGGTGTTCATCGACTTTACAAGCAAGTTGTTCCCCTTTATGTGCGTAAATTGAGGCATTTTGAGATCCTCTGTATATTTAATAATGTAGGTTACCTAAATTAGACTCCTTGTAATCCTCTTGGCAAAACGGGAGGAAAAAAAAAATCACAAATATTCACTAAATGTCCTCTGCCACCACTCAATTTCGGCATATGGTTTTTTGTGTGACTTTTTCGCAATGTCACCTCATGCCTTGACCTTGTCACCCCAACCTCCGGTTCGGGTCGTACTGGTGATCATCGTTGATCACCCAGCGACTCTTGCAGGAGCCGAAGATCAGCATCTCCTGCCGAGCCGAGCTAAGCGGTTGGCTCGGAACGGCTCGGATTTTGGCGGAGGAACATGGACAGCCTAGGTCTTACCCACGGGCATTCACCCGGAGGGAACAAATAGACATCACCAGCAAAACCAGGCTGATGAGGGTTTGGGGGGATCATGACTCATGACTCTTCCTAGAGAAAAGCAAGCAGTTACCGTACACAAAGACTTGAGGCTTCTCGGCTTTTACTAGTCATAGACTTTCTTCCGGCCACGTCTAAAAAACGTCTCCAATTTCAAGAATTCTCCATCACTTCACTTCCCAAATCCCACCACTCTCCTGCCCACCAGGCCGCCCTCATCCCCTCAATCCCCTCCCCCCTCCCCTCCCCTCCCCTCCCCTCCCCACCTCCTCCGCCCCGGCCGTGCCGCTGCCGCGCAGCGCGGTGCAGCAGGCCGCCAACTCCACGGAGTCGGCTGACTTGGCGCCCTCCGCGTGGCACTCCATGGCGTCCACGTCCTGCGCTGGCGCGCGTGGCCGTGGCCGTGGCGCGGTGGAAGTCGGATGCTCCCCCTGATGAGTCTGATGAGAGGCGTGGCCAGTCTGATGGTCTTCACTCGCTTCATCGAACCAGGAGGAGGTGAACAAGGAGGAGGAAGTGTACATTGGACCCACGAGCACGAGCAAAACAAGCTTCACGCACACCGTCATGTACCAGAAGCAAAACAGGATGGTCTGTGAGGATCCGCGAGGTGTTCCAGCCAATTTTTGCTCCACACGTGCGTAACGCAAGTTGAGAAGCCAACTATTGGAAGTCCTGCAAGTTGAAATGAAGTTCTTGGGTTCCAACCCACAAGCTGAAACACTTTCTAAGTTAAGTTGACTTGCAGTTCTCAGTTGACTCGTGTTCCACCTCAGTACACTAGTAGCCTAACGCCCCCCGTTCCGTTTCCCCCGCCTTGGTGGGAATACTGCCACATCCACATCCACACCGTGTCCGTTCCGTGTCCGGAACCCGGTGCCGTTTCCCCTCCGCCCCCGGGCCCCGCATGGTCCAGGGGGCTCAAGTTCGCCATGCGGAAGCTCTCGCTGATGACCTCCTGCTCCGCGGGACCGCACGGCGCCGACATGCCTCGGCGCGCGCGCAGGCGGCGCGGAGAGCGGAGAGGAGCGGAGAGGTGGGAGGGGTGTGGACTTGCTCCGGACAGCCTGCTGCTGGAGAAGAAGAAGGTGTACTTGGATATTATTAGGCCCAGGCCCGGTGGATCAGTGGATGATGATGGTTCCTTTTTGTGCGCTTTTGAACATCTGTGACTTACTGACTGTTACTGGCTGTTACTGGCTGACTCGGCTCCTTATATTTGGATGCACTTAGGATGTACTTGGGACTCCTGGAAACCTCGTCCCACCAACAAATGCTTCTTCCAATAGTGCACTTCAGATCCTGATAGCTAGGAAGTGGCTGCGACGGGGGGGAAACATCTATGTTAGTTTCCAGTGGTTTGGAAGCTGCTAGTGCTGAAGTACTGAAGTTCCTCCCTTGTCGGAGCACAACACCGACAACTAGCATGCACCTCTGTAAGGAATAGGTATGTAATGTCAGGTATTTTCTATCTAGTTCTGGGTCCCCATGTCTGGTTCTTGCAGAAAAATACACCTCTGTCAGCCGATCGCCGCAAGCCAACCGGCCTGCCTATGGGGCATCATGGCAGGCCCCAGACGAGAAGCTGTATTCTCAGTAACGTGAACAGTATCCAATGTCCATCTATCAACACATGTCCCTAGACTCCCCAGAACATTAAAACAATGGTTGGCCTGCTTTGTAGTGTAAGATCCTTAGATGGTTCGGGATTCAGCCTATTCAATTAATGGTGGTTGGAAGCCTAGGGATTTACTGCGGCGTTGCCGGAAAGCAATACTTCGCACGGCGCACGGCAGAGGTGATCATCACGTCTCTCTTTCCTATCTTCCATCAGCACCAGGAGCGGTCTACGGAGTCTGCGGAGCAGTAACACCCCCCTGCTGGGTGCCTGGAGATGTAAAAACTATTCGAATTTACCATGTTCCGTTCCACCAAACCTGGTTTTGGACGATCAGTTTGGACCCAAACGAATGCCAGCAACATGCCTTTTCTGATCGATTCTCATATACCCAAAAGTAAGGCTTTGATTCATCCACCGTCTACGTCGTCGCCGGCGCCACGGTCTACGTGACGGACGCCACGGACGCCACGGACGCGCCGGGCGGCTGGCGTTGCGGCCGTTGTTCACCACGTGCCATCCAACCTGAGCGTTGCAAGTGCTCCGACCGAGCGAACCGCGCTCGTGTTCGGCCCCAATCGGAGCGTCCAATGGTCCTCACTCAGCTGGATGTAGCAGGATGTCACCTGCTCAGCAGCTGGCAGCTGCTCGTAAGCAGACCTGGGACTGCGGTGAAACCTGCAGGTGGCTCAAAAATTCAAAGACCAAGAGAGACTATAGGAACAGCTAGGAACCCAAAAACCACCCTCCCAAACCCCACACCTCCCTCCACCACCTCAAATCCTTTGTCCGAAGACACCATGCTGCCGATGCAGGGATCCTTGGAGACCAGCAGTTCGCCATCCACCTGCCGACGGACCCTCACTCACGGACAGTGGAAGAGGAAGTGGTGCGAAATGGAGTCGAACTGCACTCTGCGCTTCTAGGGTGTGTTCCATGTGACAGAGCTTCCATACCTTGCAAGTTGAACTCTTGGAGAGCTGATCCCAAGTCGACGACTTTGGGGGCAGCAAGGGGCTCCAGGCTTGAAGCGCTCTACAGTAACGGAGTTCTCCCTCGGAACAAGACACACACATCTTCCTGGCAGTCCAAGACTTAAGGAAATTCTTAAAGAAGGAATTTCGTGGAAGTCCAAACCATATTCCTAAAGAAGTTTAAACGTACATGGTCGAATTAGGATTTTTTAGCTGAAATTTCCGTGCAAAACATCGTCTTTGAACTTCTATAGGAATCTGCTTGCATCTGCTTGCAGCCACACCTGTCCTGCCCCGTCACCTTTCACCACCCTGTCTCACCTGTCCTACCCGTCCTTCCACTTTCCATGCTCTCACTCTGCTAGTCCCGTCGTCCATGTGAACCACTGTGCGCACCGCTGCGCGCCAGCGCGGGTGCCTTCTCGGCGTAGGGTTTCAGGACGGTCGAGATGCTACATTCGCCCATGACATAGCCATTCGCCTGCTGGTCGAAGCAAAAGCTTCGGCCTGGCGAGCAGGTGAGGGTTTAAATCCATGGTCTCTTCTCCAATCCTCTCCACCCGCCCCAGATCCAAGAAGGGGCCCAGTCAGACAAGGCGGCTGTCATTCACCTTCATACGAACAAGCCAATCATTTCCAAAATTCTCAAGGAAATAACATCTAAAAAATAAGAAAACATATTATAATATTGAAATGGTTTAAAATGAAGAGGGTTCGACACAGTGCTACGAAAAAAATACAAAAAAATAAAAAGAACAAAAAAATGGGAAAGGCCCCATATATTTGAATAGCCTAGTACATCTCCAACCACCATGGAGTCTAGGGATGTGAAGGAAAACCAGCAACGCATGGGAGCAACGCTGAGCGCCATGCGAAACAGAGCAACGCTCGAATGAGCCAAGCCAGGGATCTTTGCACTGGCTGGGCGCCAATTTGTATGGCATGATTCTCGACATAGAGATGAGATGGCATGCAGGATACTTCAACACGAGAAGCGCCAAAGATGTATGGGACACGCCAACTTATGAGATAACTTATGATAACTTACAGCGTTTTCCACCCAAAACTCGAAGTTCACGGTGTGTTGGTTCATGTTCTTGGACTGGATGATTCGTTCCCTCAGCTACACTCCTACACTCCTTCGAGTTCAATGGCACCCACTGGATTCATCAATCTTTTTCATTCCCCAGACAGTTTACTGTTGGGGTTCTATCTTAGAAAGAAAAGAGCTGGCCACACTCACTGGCCGCGCCCCTGAGCTCTGTGGCTGGGCTCTGTGGCTGGGCTCTGTGGCTGGGCCTTGTCCTCCTCTCTTGGCCACGCCCCTGAACTCTGTCAACTCGGCTGGGCTCTGTGGCTGGGCTCTGTGGCTGGGCCTTGTCCTCCTCTTGTCCTCCTCTTGGCCGCCCCTGAACTCTGTCAACTCTGTGGCTGGGCTCTGCGGCTGGGCCTTGTCCTCCTCTCGTCCTCCTCTTGGCCGCGCCCCTGAACTCTGTCAACTCTGTGGCTGGGCTC